GGGCTTATCAAACAAGATAATGATAACAGATGTGTGCTTCATAATTGGGTGATAAAAATCCTTCCAGAAGGGAGGCTAAAGGAAAAGTGTTTCCCTTTGCATTCTCTGCTATACACTTTCTAACTGAGAACAGATTCAGTGCGTTTGGATGGCAGTGACAGAGCATGCTGTTTATTGCATTGTATGTCAAATTTTCCCTCCTGATCCAGCTACATTAGGTATTTTCCAACCTTGGGCACCCCAGGTGAATGGACCACAGGTCACAGCTGGCTCTATGTACACCTAGAACATGCTATATGAAATGGATGGAGACCAGAAGACTGATGCGATAAAACCACCTGCTACTTACGTTTTAGAATTTCTTTCATTTGCAATTTTTTTCTCAAGTATTTCAGATGTTTTATTTATTTATTTATTTATTGGAGACCAATCATTATCTTTTCTGTGAGAAGTTGCAAGTATTAAATCCAATGGCATTTTTTTTTTTTATATTTATTGAGTTCTTAGTCAAGTATGGTCACACTTTAGGAAACTATGTTGACCATGTGGAAAAGGCACAGGAACAACATCAGAGGAGTCAACGTACTACTTATCACCTTGGAGCCAGAATGATTTGATTCAGGAATGTGAAGGGCAGGTGAGGAAAACTGTTGTTCATGAGGTTAGGCAGAAGATAATGCAAGGTGGCTCTTTATAGACTGACCTGGTTCATAGGCATGAGGTTTTATAGGCAAAAACCTACTTCATCAGATGCTGAGGTTAGAGAAGCCAAATATTTTCAGTAATGTCCAATGCCAGATGGCTTGCACAAACAACACTGTTGATCAGATGTATTCATCACGCAGCTGGTGATAACTTTTCGATTCAAGGATGTTTTTTGCGCTTCAGATACTTTACTAAGAAGACATATGCAAGAAAATAGCTGAGAGGATTCACCACTCCAGACATAAACATGGATTAGCTTTTAAGCTCTTTGACGACAAGCATAAAGATACCAGTATGGCAGGAAAATATTCTGGAGCTCAGGTGGTACTTCTTGACAAGAATCCCCAAGCTTTTTTATCCCCATATCACAGGTTGAACTCCATTGGTTCCAATTCAGCTGAGTCTTCAACTGATTATATTACATTCCTTGGGTCTCTTCAGTTATTGTATAATATTTTCAGTACAAGCAAGGGGAAATTTTGAAGAAAACTATTCCAGATTCAGTCCATTCTGTTTACTAGTTGGGCTGCATGTTTTGACTGTATCTGCTGTTTTGTCAGGATTTTGAAAGGCTTACTAGTAGCATTGAATGAGTTAGAATACTTGAGCCTGACTGCCAAAATCAGAAGCGAGATTGCTGGACTAATAAAATACATGTCAGAATATAAATGTGTTCTACTTACTTCAGTTTAGCTGAAAACTTCAATTCCCATTAGTCTTGTCGTACAGCTCAGAGATGTGACCCTGGATGCTAAAAAAGGCAGCATAGTGTCTTTTCATTGAACTGGCACAACTGAGAGAGATTTATGATGAATGTCTGCATGTTGCCACAAGTTTGGCATTGATGTTCCAGGGTCAAAACCCCTTCTAAAAGCAGATGCAGTGATACAAATGATCAAGACAACCCTGATGATGTAAAGCACCAACTTAAGGACAGTATTTCCTTTTCTATCATGGACTCTGTCGCAGGCAGACTTAAAAACAATTTTGCTGTAATGGTATGTATCTGTCAAAAATTTGAACTTTGAACCTTTCTTGACAAGGATGATGCTGATCTCAATCACTTTCTAATCTGTGTTCTACTGAAGTTATCACTGGTGATGAGAAAGATAAGGTAATAGTCCTCAAATGTATTTACAAAGACTTTATTGCCCCCCAAATAATATTACCATTTAATTTATTAAATTACAGTATGAAGTCTCTCTGCAAAAACTTCTCCCCAACCTAATTGTTGCACAGTTTTTGCTGCATACCAGTCTCTGTGGCCAGTGCATAAAGATAATTTAGTGTGCTCAAATGTGTCAAGAACTAGTGCTGTACAACAATGGTTCAGTCAAGGTTGAGGGCAAAGCATCTCTTTCAATTGAACATGTCCTTACAATGGTTATCATTTTTTGGTAAAATTGTTGATTGATTTGCTGGAAAAAGTTGAACTCCATATAATTAAGTTATATGGAATATTCTTTTATATTTGTTGCATATCTTGACTGCTTTTGCCTTTTTCCTTTTCACAATGTGGCTGAGTGTTGTCTTTGCTTATATTTACCATATATATTTGTAACTTTTTTGTATTTATTCTCTCTTTGCTTATATTCTTGAGTTTTGAATTCATAAGTTTTGAAATAAATTTCTGGAGATTGTACTTCTGCTTTATTTACACACATTACTTGCAATTATTATTTTACTCATTTTAATGTCTATTAAGAGAGAAAATTCTCATAATTTTGGAGGGGCCCTCAAGTTTGGGGGCCTAGTGCAATTTGTATCACTGTTCCTCTCTCATACGCTCTCTTCATGCTTCCATATTTTCATTGTTACTTTACTCATGTCAGCTAGTTACTCATGTCAGCTGATGCTAACATGAGCCCGATCACCTCTGTAAGTCTTCTATGTAGGCTTAAGAAGGGATTCCCTTTTTTAAAAGTTTTCAGTGTTTCAGTCCTCTTTTTCCCTTTCTAAACTTCCTGTACACTTCTAACACATTTTAATGATCTCTCCCTTTACAAGACAACAGATTATTTCAGACTGAATTAGTGACAGTTTTTTTTGTTTTGGGTTTTTTGCCCTTTAATATGCTTCTGAATCACTGTCTCTATGATCAACTACAGTAGTTGACTTAGAACATCCATGTCTTCAGTGACCTGTTTCTCTAAAAGTTATTTCTAACGTTCTTTACTGACATAGAAGGTGAAACTGCACTTGTGTGTCTGTATACCCCTCTACACATGCAGGTAAATGTGCAATGGGATCTAATGCATGATTCACACAATCACGCTTCCTGCCATGCCACGCATGCTTGGCAAGAGAAAATATTGTGGGATTGCACATCAGATCCTATTGCACCTTATTGCTGATGTAGGGAGCCTGCATGAAGCAAGCTCTAGTGACTGGGAGCCCCCTCAGCTGAGAGGCACCCAACTGTGGAGGCACCCCACATACCCCTGTGGCTGGGTGATGCACCGGGAGGCACGTTGTGGAGACCCAGCCTCTGTAGCTATGGGACCCTGGGTCCTAGCATCTGTGGGGTTCTTCCAGGCCCCAGAGTCAAGAGCTGCTAGCACTGAGAGTTCCCTGCTGTTACAGGACTTGGGACTTGCAGCCTGTGGTTATGGGAGACCCTGCTAAATATGCAATTTTAAAGTTTAATAGCAATCAGCTAAAATGTTGGTACACATTTTGAAGTCTAACTTTTATAGCTGGTTGGAGCCTTTTATGGCATGATAGCTACTTTGCATGTGTATCTGGTCTCAAGGTAACTGTGCAGTTAACCATTACACTGGCTCCCTGCATGGCTCCCACAAGTGGTAAATACATGTATGTGCCACTCCTGAGAGCAGTGAACTGCTGTATGGATCCGTTCCTTGTCTAGGTGGAGGTGGCTTAAAGTAAGTTGCCTGCAGTTAAACAGGTGCAGCAAATGCTTGTTCACACTCCAGAAGTGTAATGTAATTATCCTTGAAGATAATTCAGTATGCATAACCAAATAATACACTAAGGCATAGTTATGAATTAATATAGGGTTGTCCAAATGGTAGCCTGTTGAGCATCTCCCATTGCTTTCCAGCCGCTGTCCCAGTGGTCTCTGGGGTCCCCCTACCTCATCCAGCTTCCATTTTTAACCCCTTCCTTGGGGATAGGGTGATGCCAGGCTGCAGTGCCCAGGGAGCCCATGGTTCAGGAGGCCCAGAGTCTCTGTAGCAGGAAGGGCACCTGCTTATGGGCATGTCAGGAATCTGGTGGAGAGACATGCTGCAGGCACAAGTGTGGTTGGGGGGGCATATGTTTGGTGCAGGCATGTGATTTGTCAGGGGCTGGAGGGAGGGACATGCAGCCAGTGCAGGTGTCTGGCCATGGGTCATGCAGCCAGCACGTGTGTAGCTGGGGAGAAGGGGGAAAGGTGTGCATCTGCACAGGCATGTGGCCAGGAGGGCGTGTGTTAGACAGAATACATGCTGAATGAGCTTTAAGTAGTAAATGAGGCAGCCTGTAACAACATTCACTATTGTCCTTATTTCTTTGTTTTATAATCCCTGTGTTTTGGTCTTGAAATGATGGTTGATCCTGCAAACTCTTATTCCCATGAGTAACACGTAGGGGAGCAATTTCATGAGTAAATTTATAGTATTGAATAACCTTTGCAGGGCAGAATTTTATTTCCTGAATAAACTAAACGTTTGATTTTAGAAGTCTACAATAACACACAATTCTAATATTATAAAAGCCTAAGTCTGTCTGCCTGTCTGTCCCTAATGCTTTATTCACACTCTAATTGGCTGACAGAAACAGCCAGTCAGAGTGCTCCAAGTGTGAGGGAGCACTGCAGTGATTCCAGAGCCCCTCCAAGCAGTGCCAAGGACCAGACAGGGGCTGGGGGAGCCAGGACCAGCAGCGCTGGCTGCGGCTCCCCCATCCTGCTCCCTGCAAGAGGCAGAACAGTGGCAGCATGGGGCATTAGGTGGTGGCACTCCATCTCAGCCCCCGCCTCCCCCCATCATTCTTTGTGGGGCAATTGGCTAGTAATCAAATATCTCCCTAGAATATCAAAGAATGTGCATAGTTTGCTTGCAGTATTTTAGGTGCTTACCTTGAGATATTTATCTATGGCCTTTTTCAGAGGTCATCAAATATTGAAGATACTAATTAAAGTGAGGAGCTTTCCATGTATAGGTTTCTCATTTGAGTATCAAAATTACTCAAAATAAATTCATTTGATGAATTGCAGGACTGACATTCATTTTAGTCAAATATATCTAAAGGTTTTTATTTTAAATGATGTGTCCTTTCCTCCCTGCTAGGTCTCTCGATTCAATACTGAGCAATGCTGTACAAGGCCTGTCTGTCCTAGATTGTCACCTAGTTGAAGTGGAGGGCGACACTCTGTACTTGTATGGTTCTGGAGCTCTGGACTGCCTAGATCGAAATTGGAGTGTTCAAACAGCTGGAGCTGTCACCACAATCTCCTTTATATTTATAGAATTTGATGAACTTGTTCATGTGTTAACTAAATTGAAGATCAAATTTCCTAATTCTCTGGTAAGAAGTTTCCTTAGATTTCAGTGCTCTGAATTGTTACAGAATATATGGCTGTTCTTTGTTTATACCTTTTTCAGTGAAGTTATCGTCTTGGTTTTTCAGGCTTGTCATTTATATGTACAAAACTGTGATGTGAACAACCACGGGGTTTTGACTGTATTGTGTTATAGCCTGATGCGGTTTCTTTGACCAACACCCAGTTTTCAAAGGGAAGTGATAGAAATTATTTCTGATACAAGAAACAAATTAACTGTACTTATACACTTATAAGATAGTTGTATAACAATGGTGTGTTGTTGAACCATAATTTCCATGTATCAGAAAGTATTCCTTTCTGTAGCATAGCCAAGATATGAGAAGTGGGAAGAGTTTACAAGAAGTCATGGTTAAAGAGAAACCTCTATGGAGTTCTGTAGTTCTTGCTAACGTAAATATACAAGTCTGGCCACATGTCCTCTTAATGACTTAAAGCTGTAAGCTCAAAACAAATTATATAAAATTACCCCCTAAACATCTCCCCCAAAACGTACTGTATTTACTTGAATATAAGATTCGTTTTTTCCCCCAATCAGCATGGGGAAAAAACATCCCTCCTCTTATATTTGCACACAGAAAAACCTCATTAAATACATTATCTATCATTTTAAACTGCTTCCAGAAATGGCATATGCTCAGTCATGAAAACCAACTATGAAATTGATTAAATGTAGCCAAAGTTGAGCATGCCTGTAAAACACATGGCCTATATTGGGTAAACGTACAGATGGGAACCTACCACAACACTAGGTTAGTGCAGCCCATCTGACTAAGATGTATGCTGAAGCACATGCAGGTCTATGAAGCGGCAGTTGGGGCCTAGCCTCAACATGAGTGAGAGTACCTTCCTGGCTGTGGGTGAATTCAGGGACCTGTCATTCCCGGGGATCTCTGTCTCCCGTGAGGGGATAAGGATCGTTGGGGTGGAGTTCAACCCTGAGCTGAGCAGAAGGAAAGCCTGGGAAAAGACGGAGGCCTAGGCCAAACAGATTTTGGGTCTGTGGTATGAGCACCCACCTCTCCATGCAGGGGGCGCATGGCATTCATGAAGGCAGTGTTGCTGCCAATGCTTCTGTACACCACACTGGTCTACCCTCTGCTGAAGTATGTCACCCACAGAATCCAGAGATATTCTGCCTTCTGAGGATCCAGATGGGAGAATTTGGTGAGGAAGACTCTGTACAAGACAAAGTGGGCCAGAGGCAGGTGAATTCCAGACATCCTTCCAGACATCCCAGGCAATGTACGTGAGCAAGATTTGCAAGCTGGTGACTGGAGCAGAGTCCCAAACAGCTTGCTTCATCAGGTACTTTGCAGGGCACCTCCTGAGGCTGTGGACCATGGATCATCTGTAGTTCTACAAGGTCCTAGACAAGTTTTCGAGCAGGTACAACCTACGCAAAGAAGCCCTGGTGACCATGTCCAGCCACAGGAAGATGCAGGAGTCAGTAAGAGCCAGAGACAGGCTGTCAACTGTGGAGTTGCTTCCCAGTGATGACTGTCAGACCATTTGGGAGTGCATCTTTCACAAGGGCCTATGAAATGATCACAGTGACCTGAACTGGCAGCCCACTGAACATTCCTAGTGTGGATGCTGAGGCACACAGAGGGGTAGAGATGTCAGCTCAACTGCCCCATGGCAACCTGCCAAAGCAGAGCAGAGATTATCACCCACTTCCT